AGACATGATTTGTTGACTAGGGCATTTTATTCCCTCTGAGATCCAGAATCATTCTCAACACAAAGTTCTAGACAAACACTAACAAAAGGATGAAACTGAGCTCCAATCCTTACGCGAATTTGTATGGTACAGAGGAAAGGGACATCCATGATGCCTGAGTACCTGGGTGGTCCAACAGTAGAGATGACATGAGTTGGTATTAAAGGATAGGTAAAACTTGAGAAAGTAGAGAGCCATCTTTTTGTTGTTGTTGTTGTTTGTTTGTTTCTTTCTTTCTCTTGACAGCAAACTTGACAAAGAGTACCATGGGCATTAAAGTGTAGAGATGGCAGCTTGGGGGAGATTGAAGATGCTGACTTGCATAGAGGGAAGGGTACATGTAAAGGGCAAGAGGAAATATACTTGGGCAAGAAAAGGGAATCTGAGGTTGTGCTAAACATTCTGAAAATTTGTTGTGATAGAAAACAGGATGCCATTATAGGCTGATGCAGAACTTTGATGCCATGAAAGTGGTGATTGGTCTTTGTTGACAAATAAGGTATTGGAGTTAGGGAACTCAGCCAAGACAGACACCTTGGGAATGCAGGTGTGAGGTGAAGAGGGCCTAACCTAAGGATGATGGGCAGAGGCTAGAGAAATTCAACAAATATATATCAAATGTCTTTTCTAGGCTGAACATTAATCTAGTTTCTGGGACTACAGTTAAAAGCAATATTAAACAAGCAAGATTATGATTTAATGGTGTTTACACCATAGTCTAGAGAAACAGGCAAGAAACACATTGGTCTGTTTTGGATAACCCATACCACTATAATAAAATAAAACAGTAAGATGTCAGGGAGCTGTGGAAGGAGAGGAGGCATCTTAGATTTAGCAGTCGGGGAGCAACAGAAGAGACAACACTTGAGTCCATGACTTCATAATGAGAAAGAGCTACCAAGCCAAGATCTGCAGGGTGAGGACTCTGGACATGGGAGGGTTTGGAGGCTAGGAAAAATGGCTAGAGGGGTGGGGAGGGAGAGATAAGCAAGCTCAAGCATGCTAGCAGTTGCAGCATAAGCATAGTAAACTAGGAAAAAAATGGACAGCCAAAAGCCAGATCACAGAAAACCTTCTTTTAAAACAAAAAGTCCCAAATTTTTTTCCTCTCAGGACCCTTCTTTACTCTTTTAACTTTACTGAGACATGGGACATTATGGTTTGAATGGGGTGTCCCTCATATGTGAGACAATGCAAGAAAGTTTAGAGGTAACATGATTTGGTTATGAGAGTTTTAACCTAATCAGTGTATTGATCCCCTCCTAGGGATTAACTGGGTGGGAACCGTAAGCAAATGGGATGTGGCTGGGCGAGGTGGGTCATGGGGGTATGCCTTTGGGATATATTTTTTGTTCTTGGTGAGCAGGGCTTTCTGTTCGTTGGTGGCCATGTCCTGACCTGCTTTCCTCCATCATATTCTTCCATCATAATGTCCTGCCTTACCTTTGGCTTGAGGAATGAAGTTGGCCATCTTTGGACTGAGAACTCTGAAGCCCCCAAGTAAACTTTCCCTCCTCTATGTCGTTCTTGTCTTTTGGTCACAGCAATGAAAGAAAGAGCTGAGTAAAACAGGGGATTATATTATTAATATTTACCAAGTTAGAAATTAAACTGATGATGTTAAAAGTACTTATTTTAAATGAACAATATAACATTTTTAATTAAAATCCTCTATTCCTGAAAACCAAAAACACTTCATGAAAAAAATTGGATTTTTTTTTTTTTTTTACATTTTTGCACATCTCCTTAATGCCTGGCTTAATAGAAAACAGCTGGATTCTCACATCTTCTGCCTGCATTTGGTAATTCATGAGAAAAAAAAAATTGGAAAAGGGCAAAAAAGTGTTGTTATAAAAATAATGTGGAGCTCACAGATTCCCTGAAATGGTCTCAAAGATACCCAGGGAACGGCTGCCCTCGACCCTGCTAAGGGGTTTGGACAGAGAAACCCTGGGGGTGGAAGGGAGGTGAAAAGAAGAGTGGTGACATAATTGACATGCATTTTAAAAATGACTTTGGGGCCTGGAGGAATAGCTCAGTGGTCGACCACTAGCATTCATGAGGCTCTGGGTTTTATCTCTAGCACTGAGAAAAACAAAACCAAACCAGGAGGGAGCCCCATGAGCTGGTTGGACACAGTCCAGGGGATGGAGGTGATAGTGTCAATGAGGGTAGTGACTTCACGGAGAGAGGCAAATGACTGCCCAGGTTAACGTGAGAGACATTTCAAAGAAGAAAATCAGTGGGAGCCGCTTCTTTCTGCCTTCTCATTCTACTAACTGAGGAGACATGGAGATAGTGAGGAAAGGAGAATTTACAGAAGGAGGAAAGGTAGGGTATTGGCTTCCTGAGCCAGGGTAGGATGTCTTTTCCTGAGTCAAATACTTCCTTTGTTGTTGGCGAAGAGAATAATGAGAAATAACATTTTTTAAAAACACAGGTGATCTGTTAGTCTACCACCTTCATACAATGAATATTTTGTTGTCTTATATTAGTTGTCACATACATAGACATTTTACAGTATTTGCAGTCAACATACATTTTACTCTGTAGTCTTCTATTTTAACCTATCACATACGTAATTTTCCATGTTCCTATGCAGTTGTAGTTTTTAGTGTTGTAAATCTCTCTTTAAGGGTAAACCTTTCATCAATTGCATTTTCTTCTCTTCTACATAGTGCACTTAGGATTCTAACAAACATGGGTTTTTTTGCTTCTATTAAACCACTGTGTTTAAGATAGATTCTTAGGTGTGTAATAAGAGAGCAAAAAAGTATTGCTGGCTTTTTGTGAGCTTTAAAACTTGGGAAACCATTTTTTTTCCAGCATTAAGTACTACTACCTACTTTTATGAGATAAATAGATTATCACCTTCCAGGTTCTCAGGCTCAGAAACTTGAAGTGATTCTTGGGGGAAAAGGCGGAAGGGTTTATAGATAATTCTTTGTACTAACCTTGCAATTTTACTATAAATTTGAAATGATTTAAAAGATAAAAGATACAACAAAAATCATCTTTTTCCTAAGGCAAAAAGTCAAGGTCAGAACACACAGAGACATAGAGAGAATGGCTAAGCTTCTGTTACTATTTCACATCCTACTTCCAGTCCATCAGTGAATCTTATCCGTTCACCATCAAAATAGGACCAGAGCCTGCTGCCTGATGTCTTCGCCCCTAACTCCCTGGCCCAAGTCATGCTCTTCTCCTGCCTCCTCACCAGCCTCCTTGCCTCAGCCCTTGCATCTTCCCTTAACCCAGAAGCTGGAGTGATTCCTCCAATATGTAAACTAGATCATGTCATCCCTCTTCTCAAAACCCTCTAAGGGCTTCCTGTCTCATTCAGAGCAAAAGCCAAAGCTCTTAAAGTCACCTGTAAACAGGATGATCATATAATTTATTATCCTTTGGGGAGAGATAAAGAAGGTCCTTCCTATGAGGATCCTCTTTCAATCATTATATGGACAACAGCCATAAATGAAACGGTGCAGACCAACTGGTCTGTGTGGTTTTGCTTCTACTGAGCCCGGTCTCCAGTAGTCCTGCCACCTCTTGGTCTCATCTTTGCCCCTCTCTTCACCTGTCCTCCTGGGCCATTCAGATTTCCTACTGACCCCATAACAACCAAACACCAGGTTCTTCTCCCAGATAGCTCCATGGCTTCTTCCTTTGCTTCCTTCCAGTTCCTCTGCACCATCTTACGGGAGCAGTCTTTTCTTGACATCTTATATGAAGAAATGTCCTCTCTTCTACACACTTCCACACTTCCCAGTCCCCTGTCCTGTTTAGCTTCTCTCCATAACACTTCTCATCCTCTGATAGTCTTGCTTATCTGTGCATGGTTCTGTCTCTTCCCTTGGAATGAGTGATCCACGAGGCACAGAGAGAATTTTTCTATTCAGCACCTAAAACAGGTCCTGGTACATGGTAAATGCTCAAAAAATATTGGTTGAATTAATGAAAGAATATAAAATGGATAGTAGTCACATGTTTCATTTTACCTGTAGCCAGGGGTGGCAAAATCAAGGGTCTCATTCTTTTCCTGACCCAGTAAGAACCCGTTTATTTATTTATGTTCTAGGATGGTGGCATCTTCACTGCCTTCAAGCCTTCACACTCTCCTGCCTGAATACGTTTGCATCCGTGCGTACCGAGATCCGCCTTTCTCCTAAGTAAGTATAATTGAACAGTCTATGTCTCCACCTTCTATGTGAGCCTTTGTCCGTGTGTGTGTGTGTGTGCGCGTGTGTAGAAAGGGCGGGGGAGAGGTTGCTAAAATATAGCAAATAATAATAAAAAAAACTCCTTGATGAGTTTTTTCAAGTCAGACATAGGAAGTATTTCCAAGGAGGCTTGGTGAAGACAGGGTGTCCCTGTCTCCATCCTCTTACCCACTATTCTATTTCATGCCTCCTATGTTGTCTAGGAAAGGAATACCCAGACTTCTGGAAGAATGCCCCAACTTTTTATGCCAAGGTATCTTTGCAATATTGTTTCTTCTGTTTTGAATATTCTTCAAACACTCTTTTAATGCTCTAAATCTCATCTCAAGCAACTCCACCAAAAGCCTTTTTTGACCCAGTTAAGCACAGTTGATTATTCCTTTCCTCATGTTGCCACTGTACTTCATGACACGTCTGATATGCTCATTGTACTCCATTGCAAATGTTTCCTAAAAATATCTCCCATTACATCATACTCAATTGCATGTGCTTCCTAAAATAGAAAAGGTCTACATGGCATTCCCTGTGCTTAACAGTACCTGGCATATAGTAGAAAATAAAAGGTCAGAAAAACAAGAGCTCAAATATTGGGAGGGTTTCAAGTTCTGGAACCATAGGGATGTTTCAGTCAGCCCAAGTTTTTACTGATATGATATCACTAAGTCTGAAGTGTTGTAAATATACCACGTGTCTCCTTGATACTGAGGAGGAGGCAAGACCAAAGGACTTACTTCTCATACAGATGCTGATTTCATTAACACATTGGACCTTTGTCTTTATTGATTAGACTGGCATAGTTGA